TCCGCTCCCTTTACGGCCACCCCGACGCCGGTGGACATTGGGAAAGGCACCTCACAAGGGCGCTTGTTCGCTGTGGTTTCGTCGCGAACCCCGAACATCCATCTACTTTCTGGCATGCTGAGCTCCACTGCTTGCTCACTGCTTACGTAGATGACCTCTTGCTTTCCGGACCGGTCACTAATCACGCAATCGTGTGGGACCGCCTCCGCGATAAGGCAATAGGAGACGTCAGCTTGGACGAACCAACCGAGCTTGGCAGGTTTCTGGGATGCAATCACCAGAAACTCCCGGTAATAGGGGCTAGGAGCGAAATAGTCTACAACATGACAGACTATATCGACCAGGCAGTGACAAAGTACACTGACCTGGCCGGCAGCTCGCCCCTCAAAAAGGTGCCTACACCCTTTTTGCCGGACGGTTCCCTCCTGGCGGAGGATGACGCCGAGCTTGGAGAGCTATCGGCGGACGCCTGCGGCGTACTGATGAAGAATCTGTACGCAGCACGGCTGTCACGACCAGATCTGTTGAAACCAATCAACGACCTGGCAAAGAATGTGACAAAGTGGACAAAGAACTGCGACAAGCAGCTTTGTCGCCTCATGTCTTACATGAGCTGCACGCGTGGCCACACACTCCGTGGTTACGTCGCAGACAAGCCTGAGGATCTGTGGCTTGAGCTCTTTGTGGACTCCGACTTTTGTGGAAGTCGTGAGGACGCGAAAAGCACGAGCGGCGGGTACCTCGTGCTAAAAGGACCCCACACATACTTCCCGATTATGTGGGTGTCCAAGAAGCAGACCAGCGTCAGTAGGAGTACGACGGAAGCTGAGGTTATATCGCTTGCCCACAGCCTCTTCTTGGAAGGGCTGCCTGCCATGTCGCTGTGGGAACAGCTACTTGGTAGGAAGGTTGTCTTGAAAGTCCGTGAGGACAATCAGGCGACCATTCGTGTCGTGAAAAATGGGTATAGTCCCAAACTCCGACATATTCAGAGAACTCATAAGGTGAACCTCGGTTCCATCTGTGAGATCTTTGAAAATGAGGCTTGCGAAATTTCCTACGTCGCCACTGACGAACAGGCTGCTGACATCTTCACCAAGTGCCTTGAACCGATCAAGTGGGACAACGCACTTGAATTGTTGGGGATGTCCCCGCATTCTCATTGCGGAAAGGCGCCGCCGTAGGCGCGTCTGTGG